AAATAAAAGCTGTACAGCTCTTTACTAAGATGACGACAAAGCGCGTTCACATACCGTATTGTAAAACAAAATGAATGGTAACGGATAATCAGAACAGTCAAGGAAAAATTTCACGGGTGGCCCAAGAGCCTTCTTCTAAAAACAAAAAAATTGCCTGAATTGCAAGAAAGACAAGGTTGTTTAAGCTCTGCATTTGATTGGTTCAGAGCAGGGTCCGTGTTCCCTGGTTCAATCTTAAAGTAAAGTAAGGGAAAACTAATGAAATCCATAATGACGTTCGAGTTTCGATTAAGAATTGTTTAAGGCACATGGTAAAGAAGGCCACATACATATTTGCTACATAGAACTCACCTTTAATTTTGCCTTTTCGGTTCAGATAGACCAAGTTTGACCACCACTCCGACAAACCACACCGCTCTTGAGGGTACCCTAGCGACATTCCTCTGTGTGGCTGATGGAAATCCAACCCCAACGATAACATGGAAGAAAGATGGGAAGACTTTGACTCACGGAGACACACTGAGCTTCGAAACAAACAGAACTCAATCTGGCGAATATGTTTGTTCAGCAGAGAATGGCTTGAATTCTACCGTTAGTGCAAGCGCACATCTCAACGTTCAATGTAAGTATTTGATTTAATTCCTGAGCCATTTCGATAAATTACTCTGTGATTCACGAGGTCATGATATCTTTATTTCTATTTCAGACACAACTAGTTTAATCACCAAACCATCGGACACAGTAGTCATGGAAAACCAAGACGTTAATCTCCAATGTAGTGCCATTGGGAACCCAACTCCAAAAATAACGTGGATCAAAGACGGGGAGGAAGTAGACACAGGAAATAAACTCAGCTTCAAGGCACTTAGGAGTCAAAGTGGAAGATACTGGTGTTTGGCACAAAACGGCTTAGAGGACAGTGTTAATGCCAGTGCTTATCTGGATGTACAGTGTGAGTATAAAAACAACGAAATGAAGGGGAACAGCAACTTTGAAATTCAGCTTACCTAAAACCTAAACACATGAGCCTGCGGTAAGAGATAGCCAGTTGTTCCTATCTTCTGGTAACAGTACACTTCACACATTTCCCGAACTAACAGATGGCTCTCCGTGAAAAAAGTGTATCAAAATTGAACATTAATGACATAAAGGTATTAATTTATTTCAGTTCCACCAAGTCTAATCACAACACCACTTGACCAGAGAGTTATTGAAGGAGCCAAAGCAACATTCCACTGCAATGCCACAGGAAACCCAACCCCACAAATAACATGGAAAAAAGATGGGGAGGTTGTTGCTGAAGGAGAAAGTCTGAGCTTCGGAACTAACAAGAATCACTCTGGAAAATACTTGTGCATCGCAGAAAATGGATTGAATTCTACTGCAAGTGCCAGTGCAAATCTTGACGTTCAATGTAAATAAATTCAACTTGCATATACATGTATCTGTAGAGTAAAGGATCCATGTGATTCAAAAAAACTTAAAAATTACTCCTCTCTACCGTGTTCTTATCTGAGTCGGAAAGTGGAAGGAGCTACTTTCTTATTACAGCCTCACCCTATTCCGTTTCAGACACGGGCTGATTAAGGAGGCCTATATCTAGTAAAGGCATCGTCAGTCTATCCACTCGAGGCCTTCCACTTTCCACTGCTAGTTAAATATGAAGCTTGCATGATGGCTTGCATTGGCCATGAGAAAAAAAATGGTCTAGCTTTGAACGTTGATCGTCATCAAAGACCCACATATGAGATTGGGGATCTTGCGTAAAGCGTTATGCATACTCAAAAGTATCAATACTTCTGTCATTCCAAAAGCAGGGAGTCTGAATGAAGAACTTGTATTTTTTGTTTTAGTTGCACCAAGTTTGATCACAACACCAACTGACCAAACAGTTATGGAGGGAGCCGAAGCAATATTCTTCTGCAACGCCACAGGAAATCCAATCCCAAAGATAACATGGATGAAAGATGGAGAGATTGTAGGTCAGGGAGACACACTCAGTTTTGAAACCAGCAGGAATCAGTCTGGAAAATACCTGTGTTCAGCAGAAAATGGACTTAACTCAACAGTGAATTCCACTGCTAATCTTGATGTTCAATGTATGTATCTGTTGACAATTTTGAAAAAAATTTCTACATTGAAGTATAGTTGTAGATCCCTTCATAATTTCTCGCATTTTATTCCTAGTTCCTCCAAGGTTCTCTACCAAACCATCTGATAAGACTGCCATGGAAAGTGAACAAGTCACTTTCCACTGTACAGCCACTGGAAACCCAACCCCAACGATAACATGGCTAAAAGACGGAAACCGTTTGGCCGAGGGAGAAACGCTGAGTCTCACAGCCAACAGAACCCACTCTGGAAAATACTGGTGTTTAGCAGACAATAATTTAGATATAACAGTTAACACAAGTGCTTCCTTGGATGTGCAGTGTAAGTACACATCAGTACGCAGTCAGCTCTTTCTCTGTAGAACACTGAATAAAATGGCAGAGTTTCTTCCATTCAAATTCTTTGCTCACATTTAATATCTAAACTATTCTGATCAAAGATCCTCAGTAACACAGACACTTGGCATTGAACAAAAAGGAGTTAGTCTTTGAGGGGGCTGACTGAATGTACAGTAGAACCCTGATAACCCAAACTCCTAACGGAAACGAAAATGGTTGGAGCTTCACGTGGCAGGAATTCGAGTTAGCTGGTTTTAAATGACCAAGAAAATAGGGTCAAGGGAAATTCGATCTTGTTTGAGTTACCAGGGGGTTTGACTCAATGGAATTCAAGTTAGTGGGGTTCTACTTAATATGTTTATCATTAAATAGTTGCCCAGCATAATGCAATGGTCAGCTGGATGAACTTTAGGTTCAACCCCTTATTTTATTATCTATTTGATGCCCCAATTTGCCCTGCATGCAATTACCATATTTAAGTAATAACTGGATAAATACATCAAGATATATGTGTACCTTTTTTTTTCAGTTACACCAAGTTTAATCACAACCCCAGAAGATCACACAGTCATGGAATCTGAAACTGTAACATTCTATTGCAATGCCACTGGCAACCCAACCCCAAGGATAACATGGATTAGAGATGGGAAGACTATTGCTGATGGAAACATTCTGAGTCTTGAGACCAACAGGAATCAGTCTGGAGAATACTGGTGTTCAGCAGAGAATGGACTTAACTCAACTGTGAATGCCAGTGCTAATCTTGACGTTCAATGTTAGTTTTGATCAAAAACTTAATATTTTCTAAATATATTTTATTAACTATTAAATTTTCAACACGAAAAACAATTGTCATGCAAAGTTCAGCCATCTTTCCTATCTATCATGGATAAAATTTATAACCAGGCAGACGTCATGTGAGTGTATAAGATAACATTGTAATAAGTTATAGTTTTGAAATTGAATGTTTAAATATGTATGTTATGTATCTAATGTACACTAATAAGAAACAACTTCTGCAAAATAATTTGTATCATTTACTCTACAGTTCCTCCTAGTCTCAAAATCAAACCACAGGATCAGTCAATTGTGGAAAATAAGGAAGTGACTTTCCACTGTACTGCCACTGGCAACCCACCTCCAACTATAACATGGATTGAAAATGGGAAGACTGTGGCTCAGGGTGATTCTTGGAGCTTTATAGCTAAAAGAAATCATTCTGGAAAATACTGGTGTTCTGCAACAAATGGATTGGATAAAACAACCAATAGTAGTGCCTACCTTAATGTACAATGTAAGTATGGCTGAAAGGTGTTTGTAACTTAATTGTAAGCAATATCGATATATAAATGCCCCAGACTTCCAGTAATCTTAGTAATGGCAATTATGCGCTATTATAAATTTGAGGGGACAGAGAGGGAGGATCTTGGTTGTAGCAGTGGGATACATAACTTCTCAAAAAGTTGTGCATAGAAAGCCTTGTGAGAGGAAGTCTGTTTTTGTACACAACAACAAGAAGGTTGAACTCAATTTGATGTCCCAAACAAGAACAATAGCATAGCCATCACAATGTATTAGAAATTTTTAGATCATTAATTCACTGTAGTCATTCAGTTTGGTATACATTCTTGTATGATCTTCTTCAGTTGCACCAAGCTTAATTAGTACACCAGCTGACCAGACAGTACTTGAAAGTGAAACAGCAACCTTTTACTGCAATGCCACTGGAAACCCAGCCCCAAAGATATCTTGGATAAAAGATGGGAAGACTGTGGCTCATGGAGAAACACTGACCTTTAAAACAAACAGAACTCAGTCTGGAAAATATTGGTGTTCAGCAGAGAATGGGTTGAATTCTACTGTCAATGCTAGCGCTAGTCTTGATGTTCTGTGTAAGTACTTTGCAAGAATTTTATAATTTTCATATTGTTATCACAAAGAGTTTTTAGGCCATATTTCTTGCTAATCTCTGAGTTTTCTTTGGAGTGGTATTTGATTTATTTAGCTGGCCATACAAAGATATTCCATCCTCTAAGTTGACCAATCATAGTGCACATTCTAACAGAGAGATATTATATATTGATTGACAGTCAGGGAATACTTAGTGCATACAGTATATGTATTCTACTGACAGTTTTTCAGCAGTTGCCTTAAGGTCAATGACCAATAATCTGCCTGAGTACAAGATGGAATGTCAGCTTATTGTTGATAAATTGAGATTTGGGCTGAATATTTATTTTTGTATCAGTTTACCACAGATGATCTTAAGGTTGAGTATTACTCAAACATCCATTTGCTGTAGATCAACTAAAGTTTGGCTACTTATGTGCTGATCAATTCGAAGCTTCAATTACCACACCCCCCCCCCCCCCCCCCCCTCCCATAAACCAATCTTTGAAAGTTCAAATGCCCCAGGGGCTGGGATGTTGAAGCTTTCAATTGATTGGTGTATTACACCACTCATGAACCAGTTTCTGCATCATATTAAAAAGCTGTATTGCACAATATGCCAGTTGTCTATATTCTAAGAGTTGAACTTAATTTTTTTACAGTTCAACCAAGTTTCACAACTGAACCATCCAATCAAACAATAGTTGAAAATGAAGAGGTTACTTTACATTGCATGGCCACTGGAAACCCAATCCCTGAGATAACATGGATCAAAGATGGGAAGACTGTGGCTCAAGGAGACAAACTGAGTTTCAAAGCTAACAGAAGTCATTCGGGAGAATACTGGTGTAAAGCTGGAAATGGTCTGGATATCTCTATCAATGCTAGTGCTTACCTGGACGTCCAATGTAAGTGGATGACTGTTTTGAAGTAGATTTAGAGCTGTACACTACACTTTTCCTATACAAACAGACCAAAAAGGAAACAGGGGAAATATGAATGTCTAGAAATAATCTGATACTTATTGACTAAGTATGGTTTTCACTGTAATAGGTACAGAAGTCAACATATGCATACATGGCATACCTTAGTTACCTATAGAAAAGCTACCAAAGATTTCGTAAACAGACAACTGCCTTAAAGGCCAGTTTTGTATTCTACAAAGACACGCATTCATATATGCTTTTACATTTTCATGCTGGTTGAGCACTCTTCACGGCTCGTGTTTACCTATACCTTCATGAAGCTAGAAATCTACTCCCTGAGTTATTGAGAACCCTGAATACGGCCAAATCGATGTTGCTTCTCTAGTAAATTCTTTCTGAGCTAACATTCTACTTACTAAGCGAAGCTGTCCAAGCAAGTTCTCGATTTTAGTGGTGTTTGACTGTATTTTCGAGCCCACGTTTGTAGCCTTCTCGTATTTCAAGCGCGATGTTTACCTCTTTCGTGTTTACGTTGTGTAAAGATCACGAAGAACACAATGTTACTCAAAGGTGTGGCTGCTAAGCTCTAATTGGAAAAAAAATGAAGATGGCGGTACTGTCGAGTGTGACAGTACTTAGGCACGTAAACGGTGTGTGTAGGCGATCTGTAGTTTACGCTGGGTGTATCTCAAAAGGGAATGCAGCAGCGAAAGTTTTTCGAACCCCACCGTGGAAAAGACGGGGATCTCATGGGGAAAATAGCTCGTTTCGCATTTCAAAACTAAGGTTTGGGGATAAGACGTAATAAATTTAACTTAAGTTAATAGCTATGGTCGAGTTAATTTGAGTACTATCCATAGCGATCAGACCTCGACACTTAATTACTTTATTGCAACGTATTATTTACTGCAGGTTCCATTGGTGCATTTATATAAATTTCGACTCGATTTGACTGCCTATTGTTTGACGTTTCCTCTGGGCGATAATTTGATTAGAATTGCCAGAAATATTCTGGGGTTTGGGACATGGTTTGATGCTACTTTGGTTTACAGATTTAACGAATGTAACCGAAGAAGTTACAATTCATAGACCCAACGTTTCGACACTCCTGTCTAGTGCCTTCATCAGGGGTGATCTAAATGCTGTAACAAGAGGTCCTTTCATATTCTGGGGTTTCCCTGCCTAGCGAGGCGACGATGGCGGACTGTTCGCCTCTCAACTCTCAACCTTGGTTTTAGTTTTGCCTAAAGGTTGGTCAATCACTAAGTTTTGGGCAGCAAAACCAGAGCAATTCCAGTGTTAAAACTTTCAGTCCAAAACCAAAAACAAAAACAAAAACAAAAAACAAAAACAAAAAACAAAACAAAAAACTAAGGAACAACCTAACAGGTTACAAGCTCAGCGCCCAAACAACTAAGCTACACTGCCTCTAATTCTACATACTAATACAGTGAGTTGAGAATTTATATCATTTGAAGAAACTTAAAATTTTGACAGAATGTTGGATCAATATCAGTATCTGGGCAACTACCCACCTACCCCTCCCCTAAACCAACATTAACCCTAATTTGTCATTAATTGACTGCCGTTGGGTTAGGGGAGGGGTAGGTGGGCAGTAGCCCAGATACTGATATTGATCCAGAATGTTAAACAAGTAATTATTCAAAACTTGTTATTAAAAAGCTTGCTGAATTTCATTTCTTGAGAAATTTTAAGCTCACATTGTGTTTCCATTTTTTTGTTTAGTTGCACCTGGTTTAATTACGGAACCAGTTGACCAAACTGTTACTGAATCGGAAAATGTAACATTCCACTGCAATGCCATCGGGAATCCAACTCCAAAGATATCATGGATGAAAGATGGGAAGACTGTGGCTGAAGGAAAAACACTGAGCTTTGAAACCAACAGGAATCAATCTGGAAAGTACTGGTGTTTAGCAGAGAATGGACTTAATTCCACTGTTAATGCAAGTGCCACTCTAGATGTCCAATGTAAGTTGGTTAAACATGATTATAAATCTTACATGAATTATCTATATTGCATCTTTTTTTAACTTCTTGATTATGAAAAAAACCCAAACAATGAACTGTAATTAGAGCTATATTTTACTTTTATGTATTAGAAACTCATCTGACCTTAGCAGGGGGTTTCAAGAAAAGTGTGCACTGGTGATCTGTGGTCGCCTAAAAGACTTCTTGCTGCTGTCTGTTTAGTCTGCAAACAGGTCCTTGTGTTCAGGTTGTTTTCCTGGTAAAGCTGCATATTACATCCTCCACAGTCACAATTCTTGAAACCCTTGCTTAAGTACTTTATGATGGATCAGTTTAACTGCTTCTGTTTGACTTCATTAAAGGAACAAAACTATAAACCTGAATACAAATTTTTAAGATTCAACAGCTTATTCATAAATTTGTTGTGCTCCCAGTTCCACCCAGTTTTACCACCAAGCCTTCCAACGAGACCGTTGTTGAAAATAAGGTGGTGGCATTTTACTGTGCTGCCATTGGTAACCCTGTTCCAAAAATAACCTGGATGAAAGATGGAAAGATAGTATCACAAGGAGAGAGTCTTTCCTTTGGAGCGATCAGAAGTAAGGCTGGAAAGTACTGGTGTTCAGTGAGTAATGGCTTGGGTGTTGCTGTCAACGCAAGTGCTCATCTTGATGTACAATGTGAGTATTGCAATTTCATTTTAGAGAAATGAACAGACTCATTGAGTACAAAGCCAGAACAAACGGCCACAGATAAATATATTGTCATTTTGTCATGAATGCCATTAAGACATACAAGTCAGGAATAATTTTTTTTTTTGCCTAGGAGATTTACTCTTTGCCAATTGTTGATTTTGTGCTAAAAATCACTTCCAGAGATTGGAAAAGGCTAAGGGGATTTTTTTTGGAAGGGATTGCATGGAATTTACACAAATTTACTGTGTTTCACAAATATCAATTCAATATTCTGTAATTTGGCAGTTGCACCAAGTTTAATCACAAAACCAACAAACCAGACAGTAATCGAGTCCCAAACTGTAACATTCAACTGCTCTGCCACTGGGAACCCAACCCCAAAGATAACTTGGCTAAAAGATGGGACTACTATGGGTCATGGAGAAACACTGAGCTTTGAAGTGAACAGGAATAAATCTGGAAAATATTGGTGCACAGCTGAGAATGGATTGAGTGTGATTGTGAATGCCAGTGCTATTCTTGATGTACAATGTAAGTGAAAATTTTGCATTTACGTAGATATTTGGGTAGACATGGAATAATTCTTTAACTTCCAAGATGTCCTATTGGCTTGTGAATTCCCCCCTCTAGCTGGTACACATTTCCTTGTAAATCAGTGAGAAGAATTTAGTGGTAATCAAGATAACAACATCTGCCTGATAAGTTTAAATATTTTTGTTACTAGTTTGCTGGATGATATATGGATATTATGTGGAGATGTAACATGTACATGTTAATCACATTTGGGAGTAAAAAAAATGGATTTAGGCAACAAAGTGCTGCTTTTGATTAATGAAGCTATGTAGTATTTGTAAGTTTTTTTTTGAGCTATGTCAATCAAGAACTTCCAGTGCAAGTCTTTGAGAAACAGTTAACTGGTAGCTATTTTTCAGTTATTTTTTTAAAGATATATCTCTATTGACTGATGAAATGATTTTTCCCCAGTGAAAGGGAAATTATTACTCTCAAACTTTACACAGCCTGTTTTATTTTATCATTAGTGACTATAATCAAATTGTTTTAGTTCCACCAAGCATAATAACCAGGCCATCAGATCAAAAGATCATTGAAAACAAAAGGATAACCTTCCACTGTACTGCCACTGGGAACCCAACTCCAAAGGTATCGTGGCTGAAAGGTGGAGAGACTGTGGCTAAAGGAGAAACTTTGAGCTTTGAAGTCAACAGAAATCAATCAGGAAAATACTGGTGTTCAGTAGAAAATGGTCTGGGTATCACAGTGAACGCCAGTGCCCACCTTAATGTGCAATGTAAGTGATGTATAACATATTTGCCCTTTCACTTCCAGGAGTGATCAAAAAGGAATTTCTCCCTACAATTTCTATGATGGCATGAAAGTCTTCAATGGTTAGCCTTTGGCCCTTTTGAGGATTAATTTAGAAGATGAAATGAGGACATATGTTAATGAATGAATGTCTTGTCTAGACCCACCAAGTTTGACCACAAAACCAGTTAATCGGGTTGTCCTTGAAGGCACAGAAACTACCTTCCACTGTGCTGCAGATGGGAACCCTGTGCCTGAGATAAAGTGGATGAAAGATGGCAAGACTGTGGCTACTCAAGGATTGCTTATCTTTGAAGCTATGAGGAATCAATCTGGGAAATATTGGTGTTCTGTGGAAAATGGACTGAATTCTACTGTTAATGCTAGTGCCACTCTTGATGTTCAGTGTAAGTGAGAATGCTATATCTTATTGAGAATTTCTAGGGACTGTGAGGCTGCAGGGATGTCTACAGGTGGACCAGTGTTCTTGAATGCCAAAGTTTCCTGTTCCCCAAAGGAAATGAAATTTAGCCAAGCTCATTACTGATCCAATTTTTATCTCCATCACCAATGCACAACAGTTACAAGTGTGATACTTTAGTTTTACATTATCTCCAGTTTGTGTACTTTTGAAGAGTAGAGGCTGATCAGTTGAGAAGGAGCAGAGCTTTTCAGGATTATGTTTTGTCATTGAATCCTTATTTCTCCCCCTCCAGTTCCCATGCATAAATCTTTCTAAGTACCTGACTTAACTGCAGTGTTATCACTCATAAAACATCTTTCCTAGTATTGCGTCAATTGGCAGCTACCTCAAGTCATAGGGTGTGGCTGATCTACTTTGGTGACCTCTGGCACTCCACACTGCCATCGCATTTTAGATTTACCATCCCTGTGCAAAAGTCAAGTCCAAGTTCTTGTTATCAGCTTGATTTTACAAGTACTTATTGAGGCCTGAAACACCCAGCAGACTCAGCACTAGAGCATGTGTAGGCTGGGGGTTTTGCCAAGAAGGAATCATAGTCTTATATCAAGGAATAGTAGTCACCAGGCCTTTCTCTTGAACCTCTCTTACAGATTTGCCAAATTTTGTGAACAAGCCTGTTAACCAAACAGTAAAAGAGACTGACATGGTAATGTTTCATTGCAATGCCACTGGAAACCCGTTGCCAAATGTAACTTGGTACAAGGATGGAAAGACTGTGGCACATGGAGAGACACTAAGATTTGAAAGCAACAGGAATAATTCTGGAAATTACTGGTGCATGGCAGAGAATGGCTTAAAGACAGTGATGAACACCAGTGCATATCTTGACGTGCTTTGTAAGTAGAAATGCATGATCATTTGAGCATATTATTTCTGTAGGTGTGATTGAGAATGTGTTTGATTGAGTGGAATAAGCACAATTTGTTTAGTGTTATTTCTATTTTGTAATACAAATATCAATACTGTCAAAGGTAGTCTACATTCCGCGGCTATTGTAGTTCGACTTCACTTAACACTTGAAGATCAACTTGTGTTTAAAAATGCATCTGCAGTATTATGTGAGGAATCAATGGTAAAATCCCAGACTTGTGGGATACTTTGATCATTCACTCTGACAAAGGGCTAACATTTGAAGCTCAGTTTTGGAAACTTCGTATGGTGGTCACTTTACATTTTTGACTCAGTTGATGTACCAAATTATCTTATAATGCCTGCTATCAATGCAGCACCACAGTTTTGATCATAAATTTGGGAATCTAAGACAGAAAGTGAGACTCAATATTTCTGACGTTGTACAGAGCTGTGATATCCTCTTTTATGTTTGTTTGTAACTATGTATCAACTTCCACAGTATAATGCTTTTAAATCACAACCATCATAACCAAATTTTCTCCATTCACAACAATAAATCTAAGCTTATCTATCGACATTTTGAGCAAGAGCCTGGGTAAGAAATAAAAATCTCAGAACCCGACAACTTGTAAAGAAATGCGAGACTCCAAGAACAAAGTAAAATTACCTATGAATAAGACTTTTGGACATCTTTTAAAGAGATTTTGAGATCAAGTAAAAAGTTTTTACAAGACCTTAGATTTTCTAAGGAAGCCTCTGTCAATCATGCCTGTGACTATCCTTTCAATGTATCACAACTGATTTTCTTTGTTGCAGTTGCACCAAGCCTAACCACTGCACCCAGTAACCAAACAGTTCTTGAGTCGGATGAAGCAACTTTCCAATGCATTGCCACTGGTAACCCAACCCCAAAGATAACGTGGACTAAAGATGGGATGACTGTGGGTTCTGGAGAGATTCTAAGATTCTCAGCAAGCAGGAACCAATCTGGGAAATACTGGTGTTCAGCTGAGAATGGATTCAAAGCCACTGTCAATGCTAGTGCTTATCTTGATGTGCATTGTAAGTAATTTGGCAAAATTCATTGATTTTATTAACAATGCAGTTCAGGGCTTCAAGCTCATCTTGTTTCAGAGATGCTATTCTTAACATGGTCTCCTGAAACAAAAATTTGGTAACCAGAAAGGAAGGGGGGCAAATGAAAGAGGCATCTTTTTTGCAATGGTACATAATATGTCAATTAAATGTCACACTTCCTTCCCACCCCCCTTTTAACCATGGTAAAGCCACAACATGCCACTTGACTACTGAACACAAGCCGTTGAATGGGCAATTTGGTTCAGAAGAAGTTGCTCAATTATTTTATCACTCGCCAATGACCAAAAGGGTTGCAGCTTGGAGCACTGCAGTTATGTCTAAGCTGTTAAAGGGTAGTACTGTAGCCCTTTGACTTACCCCTTTGACTTTATTGACAAGCAGCTAATTCCTCCTTACAATAACACACCTGAATCAAAGATTAAGGCACGAGAATAAAGGAAATGATCACCAACTAAAGAATCTATTGATTGTTAAAGAAATTCTCCTTATCAGCACTTTTGGAAATGTATAGAGAACAGTATGGAGAATATATATACTGATGTTAGGGTGTAAACGGTCAACATCGAATATTCTTCACTTTCAGTCGCACCAAGTCTCACGGGTGAAAAGGTTAACAAGACCGTCAATGAATCTGATGAAGTGACTCTCCATTGCGATGCAATTGGTAACCCTGCACCAAAGATAACGTGGATGAAGGATGGAAAACCTGTGGCTTATGGCGATACACTACGCTTCACAGCTCTGAGGAATGATTCCGGAATATACCTGTGTTTGGCAGATAACGGGTTGAATGTCACTGTCAAAGCGAGAACTCGCCTTAATGTACAATGTGAGTATTTATTTGACAGTTAAAGAGTTGGAATTCTCAACCAAGTTTTTTTCCTTCTGCAAATGAATTTGAGCAAAATTCGCCTGTTCCCCCATAGGGCTCTGATGTATTCTATTTACCTCCTGGATCAATATCAGTATCTGGGCAACTGCCCACCTACCCCTCCCTTAACCCAACATTAACCCTTACTTGTTATCAATTGACTGTTGTTGAGTTAGGGGAGGGGTGGGTGGGCAGTTGCTCAGATACTGATATTGATCCGACCTCCCCTCATTTGCAGTCAATTTTTCATAGTACCCCCTTAATGCTTTCTTTTGACAACCATACCTCCCTCCTCCTCCCAGAAAACCATGTGATTCCCCTCCCAAATCCCTCAACCCTCCCCAAGCAATACGTAATGACTGCTACCTAACAAGACTGTTTGAGAGAGAGGTGAAGAAAAACCGATACATTCCGGTTTTTATTTCGACACTCGATTTAAAAGTGTTGTGACAGAGCAGTAACTGGATGAGTAAGAAAATGCTTTAGTTATGTTATCACAAATCTACTCTAGATTGAGAAATCTTCTGATTAGCGCAACTTAATTTACATAATATCTTGTTAAATTTCATGGATTAAATTGTCATAAGCTAGCTGCAAACTTAACCCCTTCTTTTATAGATCCTCCAAGCTTCTCCATAAAACCTTCTGACAAAACTGTCGTAGAGGCTAATGACGTAACGTTTACCTGTAATGCAACCGGTAACCCAACCCCAAAGATAGTGTGGATCAAGGATGGTACGACTGTGTCTCATGGGGAAACTTTGAGTTTGACGCCGAATAAGGGTGAATCTGGAGAGTACTGGTGTTCTGCGGAGAATGGACTGGGTCCTGCTATCAACACAAGTGCCTATCTTGATGTACAATGTGAGTAAAAACATGACACGAGTATGTTATCTTACGATTGCAATTCTCTGATTTAGCAGCGGATAAACGCACGCACTAGTTGCAAAACAATGATCTTCTCTGATCCATTGTAGTTCCAGCAAACCTAACAACTACACCAGTAAATCAAACTGTCCTCGAAGGAGAAACAGCCACATTGGATTGTGCAGCCTCTGGTAACCCAACACCAAACATATCTTGGATCAAGGATGGGATTACTGTGGGTAAAGGAGATCACCTCAGCTTAGTAGTCAACAGGAATCAGTCCGGAAATTACTGGTGTGTGGCAGAAAATGGATTTCAAACTATTGTCAATGCTAGTGCCTATCTGAATGTGCTGTGTAAGTATCAAATGGTTGTTTTAAGTACTTACTTGATAGTGTAAATTCCGGTTGCATGTTGTAAACGAAAACCAAAGTTATCTCGACGGCCATTTACAACAAAGGAAAATATAACAGAAGCGAGAAAAGTGACTTATGCGCAGTAAAACGTTGATTATCAAGTCACAATCACTTTTGAGTTTTACGTCTTTGATCGGTGCGGAGTATTGGAAAGTTTTTCAAAACCATGAATGAACACAGTGAAGCAAAATTTGTTGAGTCCCGGATTTCTACAAATATCACTTCAAAATGGCTTCAGTACGCAGCATAACTGGTCAATTTGACCTTTTCAAATAATTTGAGAATATTCCTCTCCCCAAACCGAGAGGTACGGTGTTATTTCCGTTATTTCCATATTATTATTGTCTCCGGACTTCGTGCGTGAGACGTCTTCAGCATTTTATTATTATCCAATGGTTATTTATTCGATTTACAGTTGCACCAAGCATTACAGTCCGACCGACTAATCAGACCGTTGAAGAGGGTGGCCTAGCTACGTTCAACTGCAGTGCCATTGGAAACCCAGTCCCAAATATAACCTGGATTAACAATGGGAAGACTGTGACTCAGGGAAACACACTGAGTATTGATGCCAACAGGAATCACTCTGGAAGATACTGGTGTTTAGCAGATAACGGATTGAATCCAACTGTCAACGCTAGTGCCAATCTTGATGTGCAATGTAAGTTCGTGATAGATATTGGGTTAATGGAACAGTAAAACGACAGAAGTCCAACAACTTAGTGGCAAGAATAAATTAAACGTATACAAGGATGGCTAGAGTTGCAAATGCAAGCATTGAAAATGGCAAACTCAAAAAATTTAAAGTTAGGTGGCTCTCTACAGAATAACAATTGTATGAACGTAATCTATATCTTTTCAATTTTTACTTTTTCAGTTTCACCGAGTATTACCATTAAGCCAACTGACAAGACTATTACTGAAGGTGATATGGTAGCCTTCCGCTGCACGGCCAGTGGGAATCCAATTCCAGAGATAAAATGGATCAAAGATGGGAAGACTTTGGCTGAGGGTGACACACTAAGCCTTAAAACAAACAGAACCCAATCTGGAAAGTACTGGTGTTCAGCACAGAATGGAGTGAAGTCTGCAGTTAATGCTAGCGCCAATCTTGATGTTCAGTGTAAGTACACAGGGTTGTAGATAAGCGCCGGCAGCCGGCGAAGTACGCCGGCTTCTCTGCAAGGTTTCGCCGGCTACTTTCATTGCTTAATTCTAGAGCCCGTACAGAGATGATGTTTATCAGGTCTAAACTTGGGCTCAGTAAAAATATAAATTTGCACTGCCTATCTTTTCTGAAAACATAAAAATACTTCTGACTCAAGGTTAGTTTAAAAACGTTCTGATGGGGACTATCTTTTTGACAAATCTTGCTGCGGTGGCAGGAAAGTACGAACGATATGACGTTTTGTCCGCCATATTGGATTTCGAGACCCACAACCGTTTACCTTTAAAAAAGCTCCGGCTACTTAAAACCTTAAAGAAAACCTTGGTACAATATAATTATACCACGAGAATATGATGAATATCAGGGGTCCGAAATTATGCTTGTTACAGGCACACAGAGATGATCAATCTTTTTGAGTCAGTCTACAGTTGTAACAATCTGGTCATCGCAGGGTCCGATTCATGACACTTCTTGCCCAAAAGTGGTTATAGGACCTTTATTTTTTTGCCTCATTTTCCTTTTCGTGAACGATCACCAATCTAGTGTTTAAAACCGCTAGGAAAAAAATGGTTTATTGCTCACTCTGTTTTGCTTTTATCCATTGTTTCAGTTCCACCAAGCTTTACTACGAGACCAAGCAACCAAACTGTTGTCGAAGGAACGAATGTAACTTTCCTTTGCACTGCTACTGGGAACCCAACTCCGACTGTAACGTGGATGAAAGATGGGAGTTCTGTGGCTGAAGGAGAGACTCTCGGCTTTGAAACCAGCAGGAATTATTCTGGAAAATATTGGTGTTTGGCTAAGAATGGACTGGGTGAAGCTATCAATACAACTGTCTATCTTGATGTACAATGTAAGTTTAAAAAGAAACAAGAAAAGTATTTTCACAAAAAATATTATGACAATGCCAACGAAGTGGAAAAAAAAAATTCAATTCGTGCCGTGTAACTTGGCTGAATTTGTGTATGTTCCAAAACACTAGAAACATGAAAAAGGCGAGAGAAGCGATATGAATATCATATCTGCGAACCTCCTTTGAAGATCTTCCTGTAGCCGATAGTGATATCCTTTCTTGATGTTAAAATTAAAGGTAACCTGAGCTTTTTTTAATGCGACAATTTCCGATTCCCACACTTTAACATCCTGTCTCTATCGAGAAACACTAATGTGTTAGGAATAAGACCGAAAGCAAATAGGAATGGCTAACTCAGAGAGGGGATTGGAATAGATTGTAAATGGAAACTTGATTAGTTTTTAATTTATTGTTGAAGATGAACAAGTCGTAACTCGGCTGCGTAATTGAAAACTTATATCCTTTTATTCATCACTAAGTTTCCCCGAGTATTATCAGCCAACCAACGGATAAGACTGTTATTGAGGGAGATATGGCAACCTTCCAGTGTACTGCCACTGGCAACCCAGCTCCTAATATAACGTGGATGAAAGATGGGAAGACTGTGGCTGAAGGAGACACACTTAGCTTCAAACCCAACAGAACTCAATCTGGAAAATACTGGTGTTTGGCAGATAACAGATTGAAGTCTCCTGTAAATACCAGCGCCAATCTTGATGTCCAGTGTAAGTACTTTAGCATTGTACCAGGAAAATAGAAAAAAGAAGTCGTCAATTGTATTTCAATATTTTTTATTCTTGTGACTTCTTGAGTTATTTTCTCTCTTTTTATGTTTTTTTCACTTACCGAGCTAATGTTTTCCCATCTCCTGCTGTTCTAAACTTCATGAATGATTCACCATTTATTAGTTCCGCCAAACTTTAAGTGGAAACCAGCCAACCAGACTGTTATGGAAGGAACAAAAACTGCATTCCATTGTAATGCCTCTGGGAACCCAACTCCAAAGATTTCGTGGATGAAAGATGGGAATGCTTTGGCCGAGGGAAACTCTCTCAGCCTTGAAACCAACAGAAACAATTCTGGAAATTATTGGTGTTTGGCTAAGAATGGAGTGGGTGAAACTATCAACACCACTGCCTATCTTGATGTACAATGTAAGTCTGATAAAGAAACTGACGAAGTAATGCGCTGTGTTAAAAGTTTTAAGACAATCGTGTCGAAACCAGTGGTAGATCCAGGGGGAAGTTCGGGGAGGGTTGGTGTCCGAAAACACTTCCCCCCCCCCTTATTAGACCTTCGGGTATTTTTACTTGTCGAACGTCTAACCCTAAAATTGTTGCAAAGACAGTTTTACATACTACTACTTAGTATGAAGTATTTAAATTTACTTGTTTTTGAATAGTACTTAGCTTATCGAGGCTGAAAAACTGAAAATAAGTGTATTTAGGTCCGGTCGTCCTTCCCTTATTACGAATTTCTAGATCTGCTTCTAGCACACATTTCAAAACAAACGAAGACAGATCAGGACTGGCCTAGGACGAACAAAGCGACACCTGATTACTTTTTCGTTGTGTTGTTGAAGATGAACACGATTACTTTTCTTCTTAATCGTCCTTTCTTCTTAGTTTCCCCAAGTATTGTCGTCAACCCAACGAACAAGACTGTCGCAGAAGGAAATGAGGTAGCCTTCCACTGTACTGCCACTGGGAACCCAACTCCAACAATAACGTGGATTAAAGATGGCAAGACTGTAGAGGAAGGAGATACACTGAGCTTTGAAGCTAACAGAACTCAATCTGGAAAATACTTGTGTTTAGCAGACAATGGATTGAAGTTTACCGATAATGCTAGTGCCAATCTTGATGTTTTGTGTAAGTACGATAGCGCCCTACCAGGAGAAGAACAGAAAATCTTTGATGGTAGTCTATTATTAAGCATATTTGTACTTGCTGGCTTATAATTTACTGGTTTGTTTGTTTTCTCTTTTTCCAGATCAACCAAGTTTTACTTCGAGACCAAGCAACCAAACTGTTATCGAAGGAACGAATGTAACTTTCCTTTGCACTGCCACTGGGAACCCAACTCCAACCATAAAATGGATGAAGAATGGCACTTCCGTGTCTGATGAAGACACTCTCGCCTTTGAAACCAGCAGGAATGATTCTGGAAAGTATTGGTGTTTGGCTAAGAATGGGCTGGGTGACGCTATCAATACGACAGTTTATCTTGATGTGCAATGTAAGTTTGGTAGAGAAACAAAAGGATAACTGTTTCTTAAAAGAAAGATCATAACAATGATAATAGAATATGTAGAAAATAATTTACTTTTGTACCAACCAAACTGTTTTTCCTGATTTGCCAAAATCTCAACAAATTTAGTAAAGAAAGAAACCCTCATGCAGATCACATCTTTATGTAACCCCGGTGTAGAACTTTATTTAAGTGAGAATGGTGTCCTATCTGATACTAAAGTTTCACGAGCTCTATACTTGGCAGTTTTCGGTTCCCTTAGTGTTATTTTTTTTCATTATCGCGTTTTAAAGCAACAAACATCAAGGAGTCGAGTATTAAGCCCAAAGCAAACAAGGATAGCTTAGGTCGGAAAGGTTAGAAAATAGTGGAAATGAAAAGTTCATTTACGCTCAATTTTTGAAAATACACAAATCTTGACTTTGCTCCAAAATGTTCAATTTGCTTTATATTTCTCTAAATCACTTTTTTTTAGACCCATCAAGTATCATCATTAAGCCAACGGACAAAATTATTACCGAGGGTAATTTTGTAACCTTCCATTGTGTTGCCACTGGTAACCCAACTCCAAAGATAACATGGACTAAAGATGGGAAGACTGTGGGTGAAGGAGACACACTGAGTTTTGAAACCAACAGAACTCAATCTGGGGAATACTGGTGTTCGGCAGAGAACGGAGTAAAAGCTGTTGTCAATGCCAGCGCTAATCTTGACGTCCAATGTAAGTACAATTAACATTATACCAGTTTTCACTTGTGGTCCAATACTTGACCTCTTTTTGCTAACTGCTTTGTTATTTACTTTTTCATGCTGTGTGTATTATATTTCAGTTCCACCGAGCTTTGATTCAAGACCAACAAATCAAACTGTTATTGAGGGAACGAATGCAACTTTCCATTGCACTGCCACTGGGAACCCAACTCCAACTATAACGTGGATGAAAGATGGAAAATCTGTGGCAGAAGGACACACTCTCAGCTTTGAAACCAGCAGGAATGATTCTGGAAAATATTGGTGTTTGGCCACGAATCGACTTGGTGAATCTATCAATACAACTGTCAATCTTGATGTACAATGTAAGTTTGGTAAAGAAACTACGGAAAAGTGTTTCCTAAAAGAAACATCATAACAGCACAAATAAATATCTTGGTTCAACCTAACTGTCTTTCCGGATATGCTAAAATCTCATCTATTTTAGTAACAGATAGAAAAGCAATATGAAGTTTCACATATTTATGTAACTCCGGTGAAGACGTTTATTTAAATAAGATTGGTATCTTAAAATATCAAAATTATACCGAGGCAACACAAGCTTTATACAAGGCAGTGTGGTGTTCCCTTGCTTATTTTTTGTTCATTATCCCTTCTCTAATTACTAAACATCAAGGAATCAAGTGTAAAGTCAAAACCAAACAGCGTTGGCTAAGGTCGAAATAAAGAATTGATTATTTTGTGCTGATTTGTAGAAGGTAAACATATAGCGACTTAGTTACCAAATGTACGACTTGTTTTAGATTT